TGACAACCCGTCAGCACTTAACATGATATCCAGTTCTCATTCGGCTCTAACATACCAAGTGGCCAGCTGATACTGCCTCCTGAGGAGGCTGATGGGATGCTCCCAAGTTCAGTCTGGCAGCTGCGGACCGAGGCGCTGGGCACTGGCAGGCCAAACACTGGGTACTGTCCCCAGGGATACCAAACTGCATGGTCCAGCCACCGCCACCTCCTTCTTCTTAAGTAAACGTGCCATTGGGCTACGAAGGGTCTGATGTCATGGCTCAGCCTTCCCGAGAGGGCTGGCGGTTTCGGTCTACACCACCTGAAAGACCCCTTTCCCTGTTCTCAAACCTTGAACAGCTGTGAAAACCATGCTTTGGGGAAATCTGATGGACAACTAGTCAACCTGGGTCAGCCTCACACGAAGACCACTCTGGGCCACGGAGACCACTGCCAGGTGAGGACCGGCAAGGTGAGAACACGACTCCTGTTTGCCACAAGGACACGAGTCAGGGAAGCTTGTGTGACATCACACAGCAGTTAAGTGACGACGTGGATTAGAGCAAGTTCTTCAGCTGATGACACACAACAGCTTGTTTTCCGTCAGTTCATTCCTCCCACTGCAATGATGGCAGGCCCTCATGGCTTCCACCCAGGCAAGACCCAGAGAGGAGCATCTTCCAGGAGGAAATGAGACTCCGAACGTTGCTAAGTAGTGGCACAAGATCAAAGCCCTAAACCCTGGACAGAACCTACAAAGTCCACTGCATCCTGTCCTCGCTGCCCACCAGCTGCCTCGCACTCAGCCAGCCTCGCTCCGAAGTTCCCCCTCCGCCCCAGGGCCTCAGCACACAAGGTCTCTCTCCAAAGTGCTCTCTCTCCGGCCCCCTGCACCAGCCTGCTCACACTGCAGATCATAGCATCCTTCTGTGGAGAGGCCTTCTCCGACTGTGGGACCTGTGTTCCACGCTCTTCTATCTGGCTGGGCTCCTAGCCTTCAGAGTGTAATTCTACATTCATCAGGGTGGCTACTTGATGAATATTTTCTCCCCACAATAGCGGGGGCCCAGTTTGCCCACCACTGTGTCCCCACACGTACGCAGGACTGGCCCACAGAGACGCTCAATGAGCAGTTGTCAAATCCATGAATATCTACTTTCTCTCATATAATCCCCTCAACAACTCGGCGCAACTACGATTATCTTCTTTCTCAGATGGGGAGACTGGGGCTCTGTGATTTTAATTAAGTGGCCCAAGGTCACAGAACTAGAAGGACAAGATTGAACCCAGGGTTTCTAGATCCTTCTAGAGCCAAGGACCCAGCTCCCTCTGGGCTGGCCTTTCCCATCAGTGCCCGGGCTCGGATCACTGCATACATAAATACCTGCACTGTATCCGCCTCTCCCTCTGCATAAACACAGCAACCAACGAACTGACCCCACCTGTCCACTCCCTTGGCTCTGAGGAGAAGCAGCACTTACCCCGTGCTTCTGAATGGCCACGTTGGTGAGGTGGACAAACATGTTATCCAGCTCGCTGGTGCTTGGGCTGTACTTGACCGTGCAGAACCGGCAGAAGCCAAGTTTGTACCTAGATGGGAGTTGAAATATGGTCAGCGCTTCCAGGAGAGGCAGACAGGAAGTAGAAAAGAACACATGCCCTTTCCACTTGTTAACAGCGTCATCTACGTTACACGTTGCCTCCCACACACCAGGCATGGCAGGGAGATGACATTTCCAAAATAAGAGGCAGACTCTAGGGTCCAAGGTCGCGGACAGGAGCGCACCCACTGGAAGCTTACATGTAGCAGCGCAGGGGGCGGTACGTGGACACCAGGACGTAGAGGCGCAGGTCGAACTTCCGCCCTCCGATGAGGAGCGGGTTGTTGATGTAGAGAGAGATGACATAGGCTTCCTTACTGGACTGAGACACAAACCTAAGGACACCACAGAGTCACATGAGCAGAGGGACAACACACAGGGACGCCTCCGAGACTAGGAAGCTCCCTGCACCCCACAAAGTGCGCTGTTGCCCATCAGAGAGGACGGGGTGAAGGGGACGTCCACACAGGGTGCCCCCTCTATTCCAGCTACAGGGGACACGGCCAGCAGCTACACAGCAGCCCCCGAAAACCCAGTCACGGAAAAGCCCATCTGGGTGCCAGCAAACTGTAATAGAATTTACATTTACAACAAAAGGAGGCCTGGTGTGGCGCTGTGGGATAAGCACTGGACTGCCAACCACAAGGCTGGTGGTTCTAACCCACCAGTTGCTCCTTGGACCCTCTACAGGGTTGCAATGCATCATCATCAACTCGCCTAATAAGGACAACGCAGTGGAAATGGAGCTCTGGTGGTATAGTGGTTTTAACCCAAAGGTCAGGGGTTCAAACCCCCAGTGGTGAGGCTGCCGTTTTCCATAAAGATTTACAGCTTATGGGGAAGTCCAGGGTCGCTCTGAGTCAGAAGAGACTTGACGGCAGCGGGTTTTACACAATGAAATGGAGCCTTGCCGCTGCTAGGAGCCCTGGTCATTGAGCTGCCTGTGTACTGACCCTTTATGTGATGACACCGGGCATTTCTGAGCAGGTGTGGGCAATGACAGCAGGTACAGAGGGAGCTGGAAGGAAGCCTGCCAGCTGAGCCCCAGATCCTGCGTCCTCAGACCAGAGGAGGGTCAGTCCCAAGGACCAAGAATGCATTTGCTACTCCTGCCAGGCTCCACCCCATACCCCGGGGAGACTGGGGCAATCACTATCCATTTTACCCACAGGAGGAAACTGAGGCACCCAGAGTCTAAAAGGCAATTCACTCAGCCCGCAAATATGGACAGGGATTTGAACCGGCAGCCCAGCTCTTAAGCACAAGCTACGTGGCCTGAGAGGTGCTGGGACTGGACAGGTCTCACAAGCTGCAGAACAAAGAGCAGCCAGCACCTCACCAGCTCGGGTTCACATGCCCATGACCTTCCAGTTCACACGACGGCAGCCACAGAGACGTGCTGTGATTCTAAGTGACCGATGTCACCACCCTCAGGAGGCATGGGGACTGGGGCTCCCCTCACTCACGTGGAGGTCTTGCTGTCCCGGGACCACTTTTTGATCTGTGAAAGCTTGTTGATAAGGAAGATGCCCTTCCCCTGCGCTTTGCCACATGGCTTCATGATCCAAGTGCTGGAAGAACTTTTCCGGAACTCCTCAACGAACAGGTTGTAGTCAGCGGGCAGCATGTAGGTGACAGGAACAAAGTCTGCAAGGGCGAGACCCCCAGGGTTGGTCAGCAGAGGTGACAGCGGTGAGCCCTGCCCAACGGGGCACTGGACAGAAAACCCTCCCTTAGCCTTCCAGGGACCCTTTCCATGAGCACTGTCCCCACCCACCACCAAACCCCACATCTAACAGAGCAAGGACTTCGGCCTTCATTCTTGTACAAAAACAAGCAAACTGTATGGAGCTCTGCTGACCTCATGTGACATTCCCATTTATTGGAGGAGGATGGTCAGGTCACTGTGCTCCAGGCACGTGGAGGGATCTGGGGACTGTCCACTTTCTCTCCACACAGGACAGGGTCTCACCGTGCTCCTGGGCATCACCAGACGCGGTGACAGTCCCTCAGGACAGTAAGGACGCTCTCTCACTGCCCATACACACAGCGTTCTGAGAGACGACACTTCCCAATGGAAGCACCACGGCACCTCTGCCCCGGAGGCGTGGGGACAACCCACACAAACACGTTCACCCCTCCAAAGCCAGGAAGCAGAGCCTGTGGCAGTGAGAAAAGCACACACCCAGGTAGAGGTATTTTCCGTTCTCGTCTTTCTCGGCCAGTGGGCTGCATTCCTTCTCCAGCTCCTTCCTGTACCTTTTGATATTCTTCACCATCAAGTCCTTCCGGGTCAGCTCATAGTGGTTGGGGAAATGGTTGACTATTTGGTCGTCCGAGAGCCTGTACCCAGTTTCCACGCTGAAGACGTTCCGAATGGTTTGTACACTCATCCTGGGAGAGAGCACAGGACAAACGAGTGGCAAAGATGGGCATCTGTGTGGATGTGGAGTGGCGCCCACCAAAGTTGTCCCCTCTGCACCCCACGGCCTGTAACAGCTGGACCGAGGCACGGGGGTGTTCTGACTTGGCACTCACATACTCTCACTCTCCAGCAATAGGTGCTTGCTAAATGTTTGTTGGTGAATACGTGAACAAACCAAGGATGACAGACCTCTTCCAGACTCTGACGCGGGAAACGGACTAGGACTGGCCATTCGATAATCACACGGTTTACTAGGGCAGGAATGACAAATGGAAGAGGTATGGAGTCACATTTGTTGTCAAAAAGAACACTTAAAGACCTGTTTTGAAGAACCACGCTGTTTGTAATAGGATAAAATCCATACAACTACAAGAAAGACACCACTGTTATTCAAATGTACTCACCAACCACTAAAGCCAGTGATGCTGAAATTGAAGTATTCTACCAAAGTCTCTAGTCTGAAATTGATCATACCATGCAATCAAGATATATTGATACTCAAAGGGAACACAAAAGCAGACATGTAAGCTTACTGGCGACCACATTGGTCTACTGGTTAAGTGGAAGAGGGAGAAAGGCAGCAATGAAGAAATGGGCTGAGTTCAACCACGATCCATAGATTCCAGTTACCTGGAGATGAGAGAGGGTAGAGGAAGAGCTGGTTGGTCCAAAGTGTGGTGAGACCTGGGGACACCTGAGCCCATGGACAAGGACATAGCCATGAAGGCTAGAACTGAGAGTGGAGCATCCAGCTGATATGAAGTGAGGGGAGACGCACAAGAACACCCATACTTGCAGATAGTACCCATTTGACCTACCCTCGATGGCTTGATAATCAGAACTCAACTAGAGGAAGATAAAAAATAATAATTTTTGATAAAGGAAATGAGGGTAAATTGCAACAATTTGATGAACTTGGCCTATACTCATGGAAGTAGTAGCTAAAAATACAAACAAGAAGGAAGGAGTCTTCACATCAAGTATCAATGCTACCCCCTCGATATACAGGGTAGATAGGGACGGGCAACTTAGACATTGGCTACCTAAAATGAGGGGACGATAAAGGTATGAAATGACTGGCTTATACGTTATCAAGAGTGAGTTTTGTTTAAGAGTGTGGGGGAAAGATAGAGTCCCCATTGAAAAGTTGTCATCTTGTCTAGATGGATCTGATAAAAAGAGATGAGGATAAGATTCTTATGATTCAATAGGGAGTAATTGTTACCATGACTAATTGTGACTGTCACAATTGTAAAGGTAGAAATTTTGTAACAAAAA